TTTGATCTGTGACAAATTGGAAAGATATGCCCTATCACTACTCAGCTGACGTCAACTATAGCCATGTCAGAATGTATGACCTGTGTGGTTTGATCTTACAATTTTCAAGACAGAAATTAGAATTTTTATGTGACCATCCTTAATTTTTTAAATACTTATAATAAATTCAAACACTGTTGAGGCCAAACAAAACAGGCCTCTGGGCATTATTTTTTAAACTTTGCATCTGAAGATGGAGAGGAAATGGAAATAATCAGAGAGCATGGATTAACAAGGTTCGGAGTTGAGTGGGGAAAGAAAAATGATGCAAAGTTCCAGGAAGAAAGTGTCAGCAAAATGGGACCCAATGTATCCTAAACCTTTACTATAGCTCTAAAATTCCTTGTATTGGGCCGCCCCGGTGGCACAGCGGTTGAGCGCTGGGTTGCGAAGCTGCCAGCAGCCTCTGCAGCACCGGTTCGATCCCCGGCTGCTCCCCGGCCACCGGAGGAGGGTCCCACATGGCGCGCAGACCTCTCCTGCCGCCCGCTGCTCCCCTCAGCAGTGTACTTCGGTCCTTCTGCCTGCTCTGCTCCCCGCTCTGGCTCTGGTGAATTCTCTCACCCTCCCGCGCTTCTGACTGTACCCAGTACATGTATAAACAAAAACAAACAAATGAATAAATAAATAAATAAAACATGCCTCTATTTAAAAAAAAATAGTTTTATAAATAAATAAATAAATAAATAAATAAATAAATAAATAAAATTCCTCTTATATGGAATGGTTGCTCCAGGTCTGAAGAGCAGCAGTGATCCCTGGACTTCATTTCACCAAGAGGGTGGGGGTTCCCTTTGCCTTTCTCCTATGTTGGACCTCCAAAATCACATGTCTATCTTTTTTACATTCATATATTGGTGGCTTAGACCCTCTTCCTAAGATAGGTTGATGGTGGCCAATTTTACCAGTTTTTGTATTGGAAAGGTTTTTTTAATCTGATTAAAAGTTTGGCTAGGTATAGAATCATTTTCCTTCAATATTTTGAATATATCACTTCACTTTAAGTTTCTGCTGCTTTGAGAATTCTACATCATTCTAATTCTGACCCCTTTTGTATGATGAGGTTTTTTATAAATATAAATACAGACTTTATGCCAGATTTCCAAAATTTCTAATTTCTAATTCATAAGGATGGTCCACATCATAAAGTTTGGTCTTTTTTTGAACACTAGCAAAAATAACAAGTAAAATTTGTCCCTTGTTTCACTATGGATTATAAAAAAATTTAGTTATAAATCATGGACTTTTTGTTAGCATAACTCTTTTTTACAATGTCCAGTGGGTGTTTTTATTTTTCACTTATTGTTCTGAACACTCAATGGATCTTTCAATCTTGGGACTTTTATCACTCAGTTCTAGCAAATTTTATTTTGTGGTTTATTAGATAATCCTTTCCCTTTTTTTCTCTTTATAAAATTCCTAATAGTCAGATGACAAATTGACAGATCCCAAGCTTTAATTAAGAAATTATTTTTGTCATATTCTAACACGTGTTTTTTTATTCTGATTCTGGATTTTCTTAATTTATCTTTTAAATCTTCTGTTAACTTGTTCATTTCTATTATCAAGTTTTCATGTCTGATATTTCTTTCCTGTTCTGAATTATAGTAATTGTATATATACATACATATATATTTGATATAGTACATACACATGTTTATAAGGTATATAGTATATTATCAGTGGTACTATGTAATGTATATATTATCAATTATTTTAAATATATAGGAAAGAATATTAATATATAATATATAAATGGACTATGTAACATAATTTAGAAAAATAGCTAAATGATGGGTGAGTGGATGGATGGACAAACAGATGGATTGATTTGTTATGCCAAAGGAAATACATAATCCTCCAGCTCAGTATTTATCCCTGGATCCTTCTCCTCCAGAATGTCATCTTAGGACCCACTTACTACATTTCACATAGTTTTATCCAGAAACAATTTTCACATGGTTTAGTCAAAATAGGAAAAGGATAAGCTTATTCGTTGATTTTTTTTCCTTAGATTTGAGGAATTAATATTCTGGAGGCTTTTTTCATTTACCTATCTTACTAGGAGTAAGGACAGTTTCATTCTACTATAATGCTCTAATTTTCATGAAAATTTTGTTTCTTTAGCCACCAGTGAGCTGGGTATGAGGCAACTTTGGGACCCTTAGCTTTGCTTTGTTTTGGTTTGGCTTTAGGAGTATTAGGGTTAGATGTTTTCATTAGGAATCTTGAATTCACTACCTTAATCAGCAACTCCATGGTACTAGTGCAATTAATCATAATCTTATTTATCACTTTTCTAAGACTTGATATGTATGATTCTATTTAATCAAAATAGAGGTCAGACATTTATTTTCAATGATGCACACCTAAAATTTATATAATTTTATAATACAATGTGAATTCAATTAAAAATAAGTAAAATAAAATATAGATCATGTTAATAGAAATATGAAGAATAATTGATGATTTTATTTGAATTTTTTCCTTTTTCTCAATTTAGACATAGGAAGACTGTCATGTGCATGAGACTTTGGAGGGAGGGTCTAAGATCTATAACTTGACACTAATAATAGGTTTTAGAAAAAATATCAAACTTATTTTTAATTAATTAAATCTATGCATATATCACATATATTATGAACACAAACATAGATGAATCTCCTTCTTCTCTTAGTTTTTTTTAATGAAAAAGATACAAGCTGTAAATACAGTAGGAAAGAAAATGTGTACAAGCTAAACATGGTTTTTGTTCTAAACTAGACTACAACATTCCTCCCTAATGGTTCACAAGTATATACTATAAAGTTATATTTTGCATTAAACTGTTCATTAATTAGATATACTCTTGGTTTTAAGAAAAAGGTGTTTAGTCAGAAGCTGTGACTCCACATAAAGAATTAGAAAATCTTAAATTGTTTATAACAGGGAGACTAAATGAAATCTTTTAAAAATGCTGTGCCTTTTGAAGTGACCAGAAGTTCTTTCTGAATAATTCTATTGACGTCTGGTGTTTACATTGGCATTTAAACTCTGACTTCTATTCTTTCAAAATGACGAGAACAAATAGGACAAGAAATATTATAGTCAGAAGGTAATTTTATTAATTAGGGTATTTGCTTATCTAGACTGAACCAAGGAGTCTTTTGCCTAAAATAGTGTTTTCAAAATTACAAAAAAAAATAAAAGCTAAAAATAAAATTGTTTTGCTTTTCAGATTTCATAGAACATAAAGTTCCAAAGTTGCAAATATATATATAGCCAAGTTACCAGTCTGATGTTTAAATTCCTTTGTACCAGTTCATTGGAAATAATTTTTCAAATTCTTGAAAAACTTTTGATTTTTTCAGAAAACATACTTGGAGACAGTCACAGAAAATATATGTAGACATAAATACTACCTTGAGTACATACCCTTCTAGAACTTGTTTTTTTTCCTGCGGTTGGTGATTCATGGTGCTGGGGACTTGATTTAAATATATGTTTGTCAGAATTGCACCTTCTCTGATTTAGGAGTTCCAGTCTACGTTGCATCTCTATCAAGATACTGTAAGAGTCTATTGTGTTTCTCTCATGATGGTAAACAAAGAAACAAAATGAAAGATCACTTGGTAAACATCCAGGTGAATTCCTTCAAACCATTTTCAACTGTCTTTCCAAACAAAATCATATTTTATTAATTTATATTCCTTGATGCTATCCTAAAATAATAACATTTCTCTGGAAGCAGGTGAGCAACGCTTTCTAACGCCAATAACTGGAGACAAAAGAATACACATTGAGGGGCCTCCCCAGTGGCACAGCATGTTGAGCGCAGCGCTGTAGAGCTGTCCGCAGCCTCTGCAATGCTAGTTCGATTCCCAGACAGCCAGGGAGATGCCCACATGGCAAGGCAGACCTCTCTTGCCCCACCCGCTGCTCCCCTCAGCAGTGTACTTTGGTCCTTCTGCCTATTCTGCTCCCTGCTCTGTCTCTGGTGAATTCTCTCACCCTTCCATGCCTCTGGTCTGTACCCAGGTGCTTGTATAAATAAATAAATCTTTAAAAAAAAATACACATTGAGGGAAAAGGAAAATGTTCACTGACCACGTTTTGCCAACTACTGCTATGACAACTTTATAATTAAGTACCTTAAAATTTATGAGCACTCCAAGGAAATACACTAAAAAGGGTGCATTTTAATATACTTGTGACTGTACTCGACCCTGGGGTATTTTCTTTGTGCACAGATTGTTGTACTCTCCCATGCAACTATGAAGTTAATGAACAAATTCAGAAAGTTCTTCTGTATCAATGTTAAATAAAATCATATTACATGCTGAGGTAGATAAGATTTTTATAAAATTATATTTCCCAATATAAATATATAAAATGGACACAAAATTTGTTTCAAATTATTATATATAAATTCCTTTGCTGATAATGTATAATCACTCTACTGTAAAAATATAGCTTGATATTTAAGATAAAGAAACCGTTCTCAAGTAATTCATTAAAAAATATGATTACATGTTCCTTATTCTCTTTCTGTGTTTTTTTTTTTCCCCCATGAAATTTTTTTCACTAAGTTATATATAGATCTCTCCTTTACAATGGACTGTTTGCTGTTTATCTCTCTTCACAGATACATATTTCTGGGAGATAGGAGCAAGTGTAATGATTAGTTATTTATTTTGAAGAGAGTATTAACACGTGGAGTCAAATTTGATGACTTGATTGTCATATCTGATTAGATATTTTTATCATTCTTAATTTTCTTATCTACTAACTAGGTCTTTCCAGTGATAACTCATGCATCCTTATGACTTAGAATAATTTGCCTTCACCTAGTAGTTTTTAATACTTATAAAATTGTTAGTATTTATCAAGTCTAATGATACAGATGCTACAAAAGCAGTTTATCTGAGGTCGAGGAAGCACGTATACACCTCTGATTCATAAATTTGTGTTTTCTGTCATAGGCTGCCAAGAGCCCATGGACTAAAATATTATCAAAGACATCCAAAGAACAGCATCTTCAAATAGAAGGTAAGATTTCTCAGACAGATGTCCTGTCCTGTCTCTATTGCCCCATTCCTGCACCCAGTCATTTTTCATGGGATCATAAGGTGGTTGAAGAGGATTATGAATGTAGGCGGGAGGAGGCATTAACTTTTATTAACATAAATACAGACTGACAGGCATCATGGCTTCATTTCTGTCTTCCTGGCACAGTATATAGATATTCATAGACTGTGGTGACCAATGGTACTGATAATATTAATAACTAACTTACTTAGTGTAGGCCATAGTTTTATCCCTGCAGGTCAAATCATTTCTCCTAGTAGAAAGTTCTACAATGTATCTAGAACAAGCCTAGTGTCCAGTTGACTCACTCAGGGAAGTACAAGTCTGGGTGCAGCAGGGTTCAAATGGGAGAGCTATCTCCCGGGAGTCAAAATTAGGCTTAGGAACAAAAACTGGTGCTTGCAGACGAGGAGGTGCTCAGGAAGCAAGGAGCCCAGGAGTGTCCAGGCACATAGCCAGTAGGGTGGAATTGACAGAGAAAGATGCAAAGGTTCCCACAAGGAGGTAGCTTCTTCCTTAAGCTCTTAAGGAACCCCATTCCCATCTCCATGTCGTTAAGATGCTTCAACAGGATTGTGAAATGGCAATAAAAGAATGCTTTCATTTTTGTTTTTAAATTTTGCTAAATATTGTTTGAAATGTGATCTCATGAACTAGATTTAAAATAGATTTGAAGCACACAGCAGGGGAGGGAGAGGTGTCAAAACAGGGAGGGTAGAGTCTTCTAAGAATCTACCTAATCTCCCAATCAGTAGGGTATTTCTTTGTTTTGGTTAGTGTTTCTTCTGTACAAAGGGCTGTGGTGATGATTTACGGGTGCTATGGTGGTAGGAGAACTACAGGACTACACTTGAAGGGAGAAGTCAAATAGTGTACAAAAATTAACAACCATGTGAGAAAATAAATATTAAAATTAATATTTAAATAAAATATGAATAATCTGTCTTCATTAAGGCCAGATTATCTCTTACCTGAATGAATGTGCAGCTACACCTGCTTTGCATTGTACACTGCAGAGCTAGATGAGAGAACACTGCGGTATTTTGATTGCAAAATGAGAGGCTTATTCCATAGTAGTTTGGTTGGTTGGTTTTCAAAAAAATAATTATAGCAGACTCCTGGGTACCTATGTAAGAATTTGATTTCTGGTCTTCTCATCCAACAATCTTGCTGTATATATACTGAATCCCTGATTATAAGTGATGTTGAATATTTTTTACATACTTGTTGGCCATTTGCATTTTCTCTTTGGAGAAGTGTCTTTTTAGCTCTTCTGCCTATTTTTTGATGGGGTTGTTTACTTTGTTTTTGTTGATTCTTGTGAGCTCTCTGTAGGTTTTTGTGATCAGTCCCTTGTCAATTGTATTTGTGTAAAAATTTTCTCCCAATCAGTAGGGTATTTCTTTGTTTTGGTTAGTGTTTCTTCTGTACAGAAGCTTTTTGGTTTGATGTAATCCCAGTTGTTTATCATTTTCCTTCACTTTCTTTGCTTTGGGGTATGTGTCTTTAAAGATGTTACTGACGTGTATATAATCAGGGTAAGGCAAATCAAAACTACTATGAGATACCACCTACACCAGTAAGAATAGCACACACTAAAAAAACAAGCAACAACAAATGTTGGCAAGGATATGGAGGAATGCTCCTACATTGCTGGTGGGAGTGCAAACCATTGTGGAAAGCTGTTTGGAACTTCCTCAAACTACTACTAAAAATGGAGCTACCACATGACCCAGCAATTCCACTCCTAAGAATCTACCTAAAGGACACAAAAACATTGATTCAAAAAGATACCTGCACCCCTATGTTTATTGCAGCACTATTTACAATAGGTAAGATATGAAAACAACCCAAATACCCAAAAATAGATGACTTGATCAAGAAGATATAGTGTATATATACACAATGGAATACTATTCAGCAATCAAAAAAGATAAACTCATGCCATTTGCAGCCACGTGGAGGGAGCAGAAGGGATTATACTCAGTGAAATAAGCCTGAAGGAAAAAGAGAAATATCAGATGGTTCCACTTATGGGAGGATTATAGGGGAACAAAACAAGGGATCAGGAAAAATAATAATAATAAAAACAAAATCAGCAGGCAACCATATATCAGAGACAGTTTATGAGGGAGGGGAAGAAAAAGGGATTAAAACAGGGGGGAGAGAGCACAAGGGACTATGGTGATGTTTCATGGGTGAATTGGTGGGGGGAACTTTACAGGGAATATATAATGATGTCAAAGATATAAATAAAAAAATTTAAATGTATGTACTGAATCCCAAGCTGATGTCCCTGTCTTACCACCATCTGAGTTTTCTACATATTAACTAGAATGGATTTGTTCTGATCCACCCACAGCAACCACTTAGGCAAAAATGGTGTAGCCATAGTATCCCTTTCCTTTGCCTCAGTGGCCCATCTTTCCTCTTCTGATACCCCCAACAGGCATCATTGTACTGTCCTAGACCCACACAGATCTTTCTCCCACCATACTGAAGGCAACATCTATTAATTTGGATTTCCACAGCTTCCTTCTCCAATCAAATTTTACTTACCCAATGTTAATATCCTTTGGGATCTTTGTCAAAGAAAAGTCATGGAGAAGAGTGAAGCCCTACATAGGAATTATACCAATGACCTCCAACTAACACAACTGACCATTTCTAAGAAAAACACCATATTTAAGTCCAATACAAAACACCTTGTCCTTAAGTGCCCCAGCCCCCATTGAGGGAGGAGAAAATTGTGCTGGTATTTTTAAAGGTTGAAGTAAAGGAAGGAAACCTTAAGCCAAGTAAATTGAAAATAAATATTATTTTTCTCTAAGGCTGCACAAGTGTGAAAAATCTCCTTTCAAAGAAACAAACTTTGCTGTTAGTTCTCAATGTGCCAAAAAGTCAGCAATAGTAGCCCCTACTCCATCTCCCCTAAAAGATGTAAGTGGATACTTTTTTCTCAGATTGTAAACTCAGCATTATTTAGAATCTTTTCTAAACTTCCAGCATTCTAGGGTTTGAAAATATTTGAGTTTCCTGCTCAAAAATAAATACAGCAGGTTTGTTTTGAAAATCTTTTGGCAGCTTTGTTTGCCTAAATAAAAGTTTTATAAATCCTAAGCTGATAGTTGAAATCCTTATGGTATTTTCCTAGAAACACACCTCAATGCAAGATGACATTTTTAAATGACTGCAACGATAATTATGACCACTGCATGCAGAAACACACAAATGTCAAAACACCATGGTTGTCCTGAGTGAACCCTGGAAATGTAGAGAAAGAAAACACCTTAATCAAAAGATATAAGGAGCCTAAGGTTGATATGGTTCTTGGCTGTGATCAAAGCATTTGGGAGTTTCAAGAAAATAGACAAATCAAAAGTAGACTGGCAATGGAATACTTTCCACAAGAGGTAGACTTTCTATTTAGTGAGTCTTTCTTCCTCACTACCATTTATTTTCCTTATCATTTAAAGTTTGATACTAGCTTTCTAGTCTATTCACTTTGAGTAGCAAATGAAGGAAATAACTTTAGTCTTCTTTCTAGATGTACTTTACAGATTATTTATAAACAGTTCAAGTATTGCAGGGATATTATTCCCTAACCTTACGTGTTAGGGTCATCTGTAGCATTGAGGGCAGTTTTCTCACTCTAACGGGGGGTGGCATCTTGGGAGGTAGAAGTTAAGTCAAGATTGTCACCTCAAACCATGGAAAATCTGCAAATTCCTTCCCTTTTAGACATAATAGTAAATCCTCCCTTACATCCTACTTGTTCAGTTATTTTTCCTTGCACTTGTTCAAAAAATTAGTTAACTTTACAAGTTCTTTGAGACTGAAGATTATTAGACAAATACTACTTTGGGAAAATGTAGTTTTTCTACTTTTGTTTAATAACAACCTATTCCTGAAGGTTGGGATAAATGTTTAGGGAGTAAAATTAATGGAATTTGGAGATGAGGGCCTCCCCGGTGGCGCAGCGGGTTGAGCACAGCACTGTGAGGCTGTCCGTAGCCTCTGCAGCGTGGGCTCCATTCCTGGCCAGCCAGGGAGATGCCCACATGGCGTGGCAGACCTCTCCTGTCTCGCCCACTGCTCTCCTCAGCAGTGTACTTTGGTCCTTCTGCCTGTTCTGCTCCCCACTCTATCTTTGGTGAATCCTCTCACCCTCTCACACATCTGGCCTGTACCCCAACTATTGTATAAATAAAAAATAAATGGAAAAAAATATATTAAACAGAAGAATTTGGAGATGAATCAAAGATGAAATAAGAGGTATTAAGGACTACTCCTTTTCCTATCTTATGCAAATGGATGGAAGATGGTGCAATTCATTGGAAAAAATGAACTATAATAGAAAAGACCCAGGTTTGAAACAAAAATCATATATTCGCTTTAGATATAACCAACCCAATGCCTTTGAGACTTTGAGAAAAGTGATCAAATAGATATATACCTCTCTGAAGATTTGATTTAAAGTAAAATAGAATGAATCATAACTAATTGTGGTTCAGATCACCTAAATAGAGAGTATAGAATATAAAGAGAACAAAATCTAGAACTGAGTTAATAAAGCCCCCAAATTTAAAGACCAGGTAGAGGATATAACTAGGAAAGAAGAAAAAGAATGGTTAGCTAGCAAGATGGTGGAAAAAGACAGTTTTGTCTTAGAAGCTAAGGGAAGACAGAATTGTCAAAAAGTATCTTTTCTGAAAAATGTGCTCTAAAATTCACTATTTGATTAATTCAAATATAATCTCAAAAATAGGATGGTAGTAATGAGAAAGTTCAGTTATGTAAATAAGGATAAGTAAATTAAAGGAATTTAAACATCAGAATGTCATGCAGTTTGTGCCATTTTTGAAACAAAATGCCAGTTTTACATTTTATTTAATGCCTTTATTTTTTGCCCTGTTTTCTCCTTTGTATAACAAGTTTATAATGGTACTTTATTTTTTCTA